ACCCACATGACTTTAAATTGCGTGTGTGCCAGCGAAGCATCAACAACTGTTTGACACAACTGGGTCGGTTTTCAGCCTTTGCTTTCTGCTGGCAAACTGGTTCAAGGAGACAAACAATTGCAACGCCGGCGTCGTCACCACAAAAATGTCGTACAAAATGGAGCAACAACTCAGTTAACGGTGCGCCCGCTCACAGACACACCCATACACCCATACAGCCACGAACAGCTCACAGATACTCCCACGCAGGCATGCAAGACCCGGCCGTAGAAATATTTCATGCCACACGGGACGTATGAGTGACAACATTCAGTGCAACGATTTTTTAATGAGTTTGGCAAATTGCAAAACAAAAGGGTGAAACCGAAGTGGTAGAGGTGAAGAATTCTTGGTACCCTAGATTATGGTATAATAAAAATCTTCAAACTTTATAATTATTGGGTAGGATTAATATGTTATATAAGAGAAAATTAATAAAAATTAGTTCTATTTAAAGATACATATTTGCAACCATAAAAATTTAAACATACTTTAATATAGACATTTAAAGGGATATTTTTTCCGCAGAACCCATAATAATTGGTTTCCTTTAGTCCAAATATTCCTGTAAGAACTTCTTAAATCCCACAAACCCCTGCTGACAGGTACTTCCCAAGATTCCCCTCCCAACTTTTTCCTTGCTTTTCTTTATAGCCGTTCTTGCCTTCGGACACCTACAGCCAATTGGCGGGACAGGAAAAGCAGACCCCAAAAATGTATTCAACCATAAACAAGGAAAGTTTTTCCCATTTTCGCATACTCGGGAACAATTGTTGTCGAACGGTCGGTGGTCACGCCCCTGCCGCCCTTAACTGGGCCAGTGGCATCCGCTCGACATCCGAAATGACAAATAGCACGCAACAAGGCTTTTGTTGCAGTGTACTGTGCACCGTTATCCTTGCTTCCGTTCACCGGTTGTGTGTTTAATGAGATTTGGGCCCGCACCAGTTGTTTGCATTTTTTACGACACTTTGGCTCGACATTGCGTGTTTTAAGCGGATCGGCAGCGCATTCCTTTGTTTTGTTATTGAAAAGCAATTAAGTCGGCTTTGCTTCGTAAGCAGTAAGCGGATCAATCTTGGAAGAACTACGAAAGTTGCCCTTCTTTTTTTGGGGTCAATAGCTCTTTAAAGAGCTGAGAGCAGAAAAGGTTTTTTAAAGATATTATTTTAGCTTAACATGTCAAGAAAATGATTTCCGGTAGAGGAAATCGTGAACTCCACAAAATGCTTAAAGAATAAATTATAAGAATAAACTAAAGTCGCAGAGAACAGACTTAAAGCCAGAATGGGGGAAATAAATTTGAAAATGTTACAACAATTTTGGGATTATGTGAGCCGACTGCTGTTTGCTTATCTTGTCAGCTGTTGCCTTGTGTTTGCTTACAATCAATCAATTACCAATGGCACGTGCACTCGTCTGGGCCGCTGGCTCTGATTTGGCTGGCAAATACGCGTATTCCGCCGATTCCATAGGCCAAATGCAAATGTCAAACCGTACGAAAACATCAGCATAAATCAGTACCGCCTCTGTCTGTAGCTGCCGGCTTATCCGACTTTCGCTGAATAATTTAGAACGCTTCTCGTGGCAGTTGGACATTTAGGCACAAAAAGATATCGGATCGGATTATAACAGCTGATTCATTTAGCTAATGAACCTCTTCAAAGGGTGGCGTCGATTTTTCTGTTTTGGAATTCCCAATCTCTAAGGGGAAAGCATTTTTAATTAAATCCTCGGCCATTCCTCATCCGAGCACGGGGAAATCCTCGACCCCTTCACCACCTTGGCGGAAACTTGCGCAATTGAATATTCGGTTTTGGCCTCCAACTGAGGCGTGGGCCATAATTAAAACATTTATCAACTTTGTTGACAAATGACTTGAATTTGTTTGTTTTGCGGAGCTCACGAACTAGGCAAAATCTATTGCGATTTCAGTTTTTTGCGCATTTATGGAGGAACATTAGACACAGGTTGCGTGAGCGATTTAAATAAGCCTTTTACTCAAAAAAACTCCAAGAGTTTGATTAATGACTAGCTGTTTGAAGTTGTTTCCTGTAAATATTTGGCACTTTACTTTACTTACCAATCAATCATAGTTAAGTGGTAAGTGGGTCTTGCAATTTTACCAATTTCCTCATCGCGGCACTCTGAAAATATTCCGCTGACTTAGTGCCATTTGACAAAGACCGAGCTTGTAAACAATAAGCACATGTTGCGAGGGCGTCAAGAGCCGCAGCTGTCAATGGGTTTCTGCTAACGACGCGGCATAAATATCCGCCGGCAACACTGCGTATACGTAATAGAAATGGCACTGCAGCACGAATAAATGGGAAAAGCGTGGCACACAAATTTCGCGGAAGCGTGTCAAGTTTTTACATAATATGAATTCAGTTCAAGGAGCGTATGTTGCTGCTAATAAAAACTAATTTCCCAGAGCTGGGAATGGGTGAAAATAAATTGGGATACATTCGACGTTTTACAAAGGCCTTCAATCTTTCAATTAATGTTTATTAAAACAATAACCTTCCGATGTTAATTAGATATAAATTGCTTTTCTGGCTTGCCGCACATCAGCCATTAATGAGGCGCCAGAAAAAGGCTGACTCTCAGATTTTCTGTCTGGAATCCATCAAATTTTGGCATGCAATTGCTTGGCAAAAATGTTCACACATCGGGAGAGCATAAATTAGGCGGTAATTAGAGTGGGGCGATGTAAAACGTTCGTGCTGTTCCGTTTGAATTTTCCTACCCAATCCTGCCGGCAATTATGCTAATATTTTTTGGCCTTTCTGCTTGGCCACCAACTGGCGCACACATTTTAGGCACTGTTAAATAGCCGAAAATTTTCACAGCCAAGGACTTTTGGCCCTCGGCCTTCAGCCTTCATGTGGGCTTAACTCAACGAAATTTGTAGCAATTGCATTTGAAATTTGCCTGCGGACTGCTTTTATAATTAAAGTTACTGTCGATGATTTAGCGGAAATTGGCCAGGAATATTTGCATATTTCGTTGGAGGGATTTTTAATTTGATTTTCCACCCAGCGGGCCACTACTAGTTGTATAATTAGCCACAACAGTTTTACAGCTAGCGAAGCGTTGTACATTTATGGAAAAAGCTTTCTCGGAACAGGAAATAAATGGAATCGCTTGTGGATTGTTTTGCAGTTAACCTTTATTTTGTATTACCTTCTATATTTTAACATATTTTGAAGCTCACCAGGAATCGCACAGCAAATGCCAGAGCCAAGGCAAACATGTTAAAGGATTCAACAAGTTGAGAACAGCGAAATTACCCCAAAATGACCCAATTCATGAAAAGTTGAGCTGTCGCCAAGACAAAAACTTTGCAGCGGTCAATGTGTGATGAGCACAGGGAGTTAAGGGATTTTGGGGGCTAGTTCCTTCTCATGTTTGCCCTGTGACCCTTGTACACTTGCTAACCCAAACCCCTTAACTACTTTTTCGTTTGTATCGGTTATCCATTCCCATCCTATCCGACTCCCTTTGTCCGTTCTCTTGGCATTTAAAAAAGAGCTGCAAATTGAGTTTTATTATAGGTCTCATACACAGGAAAACATGGACACAGTAACACCAAAATATTTTTAAATATTTTAAGGTTAAACAAAAATATTTATCAGAAAGTTTTACGCTGAACTAACACTTAGGTTTTAAAAATAAAAACAAAAACTAAAAAAAACCAAATAACTTTCAGTGCCTTTACAGTTAAAGAGAGAATTCTAATGGAAGTGTGTGTATGAGTAGAAAGTAATATCAAATACCCATTCATAAACTTTCAATGGCATTTATCTTGCGGTCATGAAAAAGATGGACTCTATTGATTCAGGGCTAGTGTTTTTATTTCATTTCATCGGCTTGTGTCTGCAAATTGTAAATACAATTTGGGATTTACAGATGGCCCGGAATGTAATTTAAGGCAAATACCAGAGCTCTGGTTTATTGAATTGAAACCATAAATTGATTTCTAATTGCATTTTGGGCGAAGAAAAATACTATTACAAGGCCGAATTTTGCAAATTCCACAAACGTTTCAACCAATTCAGAAATCATGTTAGTTTAAACCTTAAATTCAATATGGTTAAATGACTTTGTGGCTTTATGAATCATAATCAACAAAAGTTTTAACCCAATTCATGTTGAATGAAGAACAACTGCGTAACTCCCCATTTTAAAATTAATGCATCACTCGGCACAATTAACGAAATGAAATTATGCAAGGCAACGGCTGGCTGGGAATTTAATGCGCAGCTGGGTCGCCCACCCAGAATTCGGTGGTCCTTTATCAAAATTTATGGCAGGACCCTCGGGACAACTGCATGAATGATGAACACTTAGCGTTTTGTAATTTTGAGCTGGCCCCTGACATCTGAATCGATTTTGCGCACTTCCGGCGTTTTTATGCCCTCCAATCCATGTCGTACTATATATCATATCTGCTCGATCTTTTTCCGAAACTGCTGGCCATTAGCAGCTACGAATTGGGTCATCAGTTTCCTTCGTTTATTTGTTTCTGTGCGTGTTTTACTCCCACTTGCACGCCGCTGACAAATTCGCCTCGCCCGTTGATTAAAATTACAATTAATCAACGCTCTTGGCGCTCTCAACGTTGCCATTTGCCTTTTAGTCACTTTTTACTGTCATTTGTGCGTTTACTTTATTCGTCCCTACTTCTGTTGGGTTGACAGAAGGAGCGAGGGAACGAGTGCCTGATATTTGAGTGCCAATCACTGGCTTTTTGCCAGCAGTAAATGTCCCGAAAATTAAATTCAACGGCCAAATTAAACAGAAATTCGGGTACCCAAGTGCAACCCATTGCATGCTTGAAGCTATTTTAAGAGCTCTTTGGAAGAAAGTATTTTTAGTGACAGTAAAGTCCAGAGGAATATATTTGGTTTTATTCATAAATACCTACCTTTTGATAACCAATTGAAATACAAAGAGCATTTACCATCGAATAAACATTTATTTCAATAGAAAAAGAAATTGGATCTCTTATTTACCGAATCGTTCTATAAATACTCCTTAGATAATAGTTGGACTATAGCTAATTCGTTTTGGTTTGTATCTGGAGATGCGCTTGGCACTTACACAACTATTCATGGGGTGAAACTTAGTCAAGTATATCACTTATCAAGTGTGGTCGCAAAATGTTCCAGGCTGCTTTCAGGGGCTAGAACTATCCGTAATACCCATTGGTTTTCCGGCGGAGCGAAGCCTCGGCGGCGGGGCTCTCGACCATTGAGGCAACGCTGGCGGGAAAACTTTGGAAGCAGCGCTGGACAATTTGATGCGCGAATTGGTCTGTACAAGGTGGCTAAGCATTAGTGGGTGGAAGGATAATTTACAGGGAGTAAAAGGGTAGTAGGGACATCTCACAGCCAGAGGGCGTCGATGGCGTCTTCCACATCCTCGTCCGGAGGACTCGGCGGCTGCTCGCTGACCAAAACCGCCTTGGCCTTCACCTCGTCGGAGCTGCTGAGCAGCACCATCAGAAGGACACTGCTGCGTCGGTTGACGGGTCCCTTGGCCAGCTCCACATCCTGGTCGCAGGACCCCTCACTCTCCCTGGCCCTCGGACTGCGCAGCTTCCTCAGCCAGTCCGTGGTGGGCCAGATGCACTTGCCGCCACTCCCACTGCGCCGCCTCCGCTGTTGGCCGGAACTGGAGGTGGAGGTGGTCGTTCCCTTTTGCCCGGACTGCAGGTGCAGCTTCTCGACCAGGCTGATGTCGTTAGTGGTCACGGCCGCCTCGGTGGCGTCGGGACATCCATCAAGCTCGGATGCTGCCACTGCCACCGATGCGGCTGCCACCCCGCCGCCAATCGCGGCCGACATCGCCGCCCGGCCGCTGCTCTCGTGCTACACATTCGTCACCTGCGTCGTCAGCCCGAGATCGATGGCCATGCTCTTGCTGGCGGCGTCCGTGTGCAGCAGCCGCTGCCGCCCGTACCCGCCGTATCCGCCCAGGCCGCCGCTGCCGCCCACCCTCCCCTCGCCGTCGTGCTGCGACAGCGGCAGCCACCTGTCCAGCCAGCGGGGCCGGAAGAGCAGCGCGAACGTGCTCCGGAACTGGCGGCTCATCGAGCAGTAGAGGATGAAGTTGATGCTCGAGTTGATGAGCGCCAGGATGTCCATGAGGTCGCCTGAAACGGGAGAGTCGAATTGCAATCAATACCCAGCAACCACCACCAACACGCCATCTGTGGGCGGGCCTCACTAAGGTTCAGAGGTCAACACTAGAGTCAAGGGCAACTAGTTTTAATAGCTAGGTTACACTGAAAATTAATAACTAATTCAGGTAGAATGAATAACTAAATGATGTTTGAACTTTGATTAGCAGTAAACTTTTCTGGAGTATTAGTATAAAATTCTTGAAAAAATGTATTAAATAATTCAACGAATTCGAATAGAGCGTAGAGTGTTCACCAATTCCATGTATTATTATTTCCAGGATTTATTTATTTCAAATTAATTAAGGTTCTTTTTATTGTATGCATATTCTGGTTTATCACCCCTTAAACCCACAATTAATGTAAACTGTTTTTTCTACACGTGTACTCGATTAACAAAGGCTCTACTCCCAGAACATGTCAAGGCCAGGCGAACACTGAAGCCTCAAATTTGTGGTGCAATTACGGCCGTCAACGGTGCGTATGATTGATGGCTGAGCCAAACTGGGTCCACCCAAGCACCAGTCATAAATTCAGTCAATTATCATACCCAATAAAGCAATTACTGGGCACGGAGAGTAAAAGGGGAAAGGCTGTTATATCCGGGAATACTCACTCAGCTTAAGGTAGCACTGCAGGAAGAAGGCGTCGCCGAGGAGGACGTTCAGCAGACCCATGATGCCCTGCGGGAACTCGGTGACCAGGAAGAGCAGCAGGACGGCCAGGAGCATCCTGGTGGTGCGGTCCGTCTGCTTCTCCTTCTCCAGCAGCTTGCAGCTCTTGGGTTGACTGGGCGTCACCACTTTTCCGTTCACGATTGGCTGCATGTCGTTGGCCGCGTGGCAGGCCAGGATCTTCCTCCTCCGCTTGGCCTCCAGAAGGGCGCCAATCAACCTAACCGACAATATGGTGAGTGCGAAGCAGGGAATCAGCTTAATCAGTACGCTGTATATCAGGAAGGTGGCATTCCGGAACTGGCGATCATGCAGAGCGAGTGCACTGTGGTACAACTTGAAGACGGTCACGTTCCGCTCGCCCATGGACGAGGATGTGGTCACCCCGGTGGTCAGAGTGGTCAGGGGCACCACTGTGGTCAGGCTGAGCAGGCTAACGGCGGTCCCGTTGGCCAGGCCATTCGGCATCGCCCAGGAAAGGTCCGGAGTGGTGCTGGACATCACCTGCATGGTCACGTCCTCCTGCCGATTGAAGTCCACGATGTACTGGCTGAGGGGCACCGAGGCGATCGTCTTGCCACTGGCGTCCAGGGTCTCCAGGTACTTGGCGATGGCCGTGACCAGGTAGAGCCAGGGCGAGACCACCAGCACACACACCACGTACGCCGTGGCGATGGTGATCAGGGTGGTCCGCATGCCGCACCAGATGCGGTTCCGCTGCGGATAGCTCACCGCGATGTAGCGCCACACGGCCAGGGTGACCGTCAGCCAGATGGAGATGGTGTGCAGCACCTGGGGGAACACCGAGTGGAACTTGATGAAGCACGCCCAGCTGTAGCTCAGCTGCTCCTCCCGCGGCAGCCGGGCGCTGAGTATGTAGTCGTGCACCGTATACGGGATGTACTCCAGCATCACCGCCAGGTCGGCCACCGCCAGACCCGTGAGGATGGCGTTCGTGGGGGAGCGCATCTCGCGGCGGGTCAGCACGATGATGTTCAGGGTGTTGGCGATGGTGCCCAGGATGCACACGATCAGGGAGAAGTAGCCGTGGAAGTACTTGTAGCTGGGGTAAAGGGAGAGCCACAAAAAGACCCAAAGTCAGTTGGGTAAATTTAAAGAACGCAATGTGCCCTTACTTAATCGCAAAGCCATGAGCAAGCTCCTTTGAAATGATTTTTAAAGAATTTAATGCTTCAATTAGGACTCGAGCAAATTCGGATAAAAAACAGCGGCAGGCTTCAAATGAAGTCATCCATGCAAATTGCTTATTCAGATAGAAGCGGCAAAAAGTATATGATAAATAAAGCTGGCTTCCATTGAGTCGCTTTTGCTGAATTTATTTAAGATAGCCGCGTCTTTTGCTATGAAAATATGAATTTATGGCTTCTATGAGAGTCTGCTTCCCCATTCCGAATGAAAAAATGTATGTCTTTATTCTGTTTAATGTTCCATGAAAAGTTATTGCGTGAATTTAAGAAATTTCCATTTTTGTCATTATTTTTAAGCCAAAGTTAAGCCCCTTCCCGCTCGAGTTATATGCACATGGCCAGCGCTTTGCCACCTTGCCCGTGGGCAATTACACACATGATTTCATTATGCGCGCCCCGGCTGGCGGATCATTATGCAAATTGCATTTGAAAAGTGATTAATATGCAGACTTCCCCGAGCATAAACTTACTTTGTGTGGAAATCGTCGATGCCCGTGCCACAATAATGCGGCTGCGACATGTTCGTGACCATGGTGTTGATGCCAATGATGAGCTGCTCGGTGGTCGTCGGCTGGTGGGAGATCCTGGCAGGACTCCGTTCGATTGACCGCGGTGTCCGGCTGCCAACTCACTTGCTCCGCTGTCGTTTCATTAAAATTCCCTTTTTCGGAAATTCCAACACTTAAATATGCAGGCTACGTGGCGAAAATGCTACCTGAAAATAAACAACGCCGTCAGATGAATAAAATATGAATTCGTCATCGCGGTTTCGACTTTAACAGCGTTTAAGCTTCGCAATTCTTAAAATACCAGCGCGTTGCATGCCACATGCCACAAAAGGAAAGGGCAATGCAGACGCAAATTGAAGTTCAGGGCAGGTCAAAAGCACGCTTGCAAATGAATCGACAAAGAAATGTCATTACCGCTTGCCCAAGTGGTCAGAGCACAAGGCCAGAACTGTAATCAATATTGCACATGAGACGACCACTGGCCCAAGCAGAAAGAGATGTTTTCGGCAATTTGTGGGCAAACCATGGAACACACTGTTGCCTTCCAAAACACACAAAGGAAAAACATGCCCTAAAATAAAACATTCCCTATTCATTCTCTTTTCCTAAAATAAAACATTGCTATTTCTGAAAACAATTGCTTGAAGGATAATTATCTTGTATTTACATTTAATCAATATTTTGTTATTTATTTGCATTGCTTTTATTAATAACTTTCTCTAAGTGCAGCACTCAAGGTGCCACACATACTCCCTGTTGACATAATTCCATTAGACAAATGAGGAAATATGGTGAAGCCAGCGGTTCAAAGGAAACGACTTCACTTCTGCCTTCTGCTCGACCGCAGTTGCAGCTGCAGTGAGCTAGCTGCGTTTAATTAAAAGTAACTTTCCCACTGTCAGCCAAGTGACAACTTTCCGGAGTGCTTGGCTTTTATCCGGCAATAAATCTGGGCATTAAAAATTGGCCGAAATGTTTTGTCAGCCTTGAAGTGATAATAAAATCCCCCATTTTCCATTCATATTCGTGCTGTTTTGTTTGTGATTTCGAGCACAAAATCTGGTTTTTGGTTTTGTAAGCCGGCCTGGCTTCCATTACAGTGATTAAGTCCCTCGGCCGGGGGACTTGGCCTAGATTGGGCCTATTCCGTGTGACTTGGCCCGGTTCTGCGATGCTGACTGGCGAAAAGTTGGCAGGATAAGCGCTTTTTGTTATTTCCTTGTAATTATAAGCTCTACATTCGGCGATGGAATTGATAATTAACCCGCGTCATGAATGTTGACTCAGGGATAAAGCAAGAATATTTCCGTTCCTTCGAAGGCTTTAAGGTAGCTTCAACTGCTTGGCTAATTCGGACATGTGGTCAGGGCCTATAATTGAATTGGATATCGTTGCAAGATTCGTAGAAGGCCGGTACCGAATTACAATGCAAACACGCAGAAGTAAAGCAATAAACAAATGTCCCACTGTCTCATTTTGCCGCACTAATGTAACTAATACGCACCGTATGCCGCCCATTACGGAAGTTTTCGGGGCCTCCAGTGGGTGGTGGTCCGCCCGGTGTCAAGTGCCTGCTGGCCTGCTGGCCGGAGGACCAAAGGCCGTTAAAGTTGCGGCCAGTCACGTAAATGCGGGGACTTGTTGACTGTGACAGGAACAGCGGCATTTCTGGGGGGACTCGGAGGTTGAGGGCCGGCTTAAGTGCCTGGCAATGGCAGCTGACAGGCCCAAATGTGGGGGGACTTAGGGGGCTTTGGGGGGCTAGGGAATCTCGGACAGGGAACAACACTTGCCGCTTAATAGACAACACCGCGCAACAAAACATCCATTTAAACGATCTAATGAAGCCATCGGCAGGCTCTGCCAGCTGCATTATTAATGCCACCCCTCCAGTCCGCATAATGGAATTACATAATCTCCCCCGATCCGCCATCGCCTCATTTTAATTACCGAGCCACGCCCCCTTTTTACAGTTGCCCACTGCAAATGGCCATACAAATTGGGGTTTGATTGGGGTTTGTCCATTGGAAGAACACGCTTTTGCCACGACCTTATTCTATTATCTGCGAATAGTATCGCTGGTAAAGTGTTCAAAGTAAAATCGATTCATAAATAAGTTGAGGAGTAAATGGATATCCAATAAATAGGTCACACGAACAGAGAACCGTGTGTATTAAGAATATTTTTATTAAAAAAACCTTTAAGTTGAATGATTTCGAAATGCATACGAATTTCTTTTTCTTTCTGGAACACATTTATTTGCAATTATACTAATCAAACAGTTGGACAAAAGAAGCTTAAATTCCTTTGCCGATTGTTTGCCGTTTCACATAAAGACCCACTGCCCCGAGCAAGTTGTTCTCTCTTTTTATACGAGTATACACAATGTGCTGAGTTCAAGATTTTTTCTGGCCAAGTACAATTACATATTTGGCCTGTCCTCGAGGCGGGACCACACCAGCCAAGAGAACACAGAATCTCGTTGTTTTCCTTTTGGCTCTGGGCCATATAATGAGCATGAGGATATTGTACAGTATGTAATCACGGCCCCCGTTGGATGCCAAGCGAACTGGCTCATTTCACTGCCCGGAAATGCTTTTCGAGGATGTAGAGCCCCGAAAGAGCCCTCCATGTGCGGTTGAAACCGCTCTGAATTTATGAAACGCAAAAGCCCCGGCACACATTTTCAGCATTCCGGGAAATCACTGGGGAGGGCAGTGGAAATTATGCCAAAAGGTAACAACAGCCACGTGCAGCTGACCGGGTTCACTTAAAGTTGCCTTTTTTTGGGGCGGAAATCCGGTTTTGAAGCTCGCACGCACACACAACGTTTCAGTTTCTACTTAGCGGTAAACTCGCTTGCTGGAAAAACCGAAAATGCAGGAAGCCGCATAACAAATCCGGAAGGCTGCATCAAGGACGCTGAAGGGGAGCTGGGAGCAATGGCTAAGTGCATTTAATTGAACACTTGTCATGGGCACACGCTGCGTATGAGCAATATTGACAAACATGCCATCAAAATCTCCCACATACACCCAGAAAAAAAACAATACCTCATGATCTCTATTTTACTACAAAATCTATCTAATTCTAGGATTTTTACTAACAGGTCTATCAACTATATTATTTTTTAATTAAAATTTGAACTCTACTTGTTTTTGCTGTGTGATTAGCTGCAAACTTTTTTTGTTCCTTTTTTCAACTGCTACAAACACAATCAAAACTAAAATCAAGTATGGTTTATGCCAGCACAAAACTCTGAAAAAACAGCAGACAAATGATTTTGCTGCCAATTTTTTCCCTCGTTTGGAAAGTGGCCCATGGCGATTTTCTAATTCTCCATTTTCCACTTGCCACTTTTGCATTCAACTTTCTCCATTCGCTCGGCAAGTTCGTTTTGACCTCTGCATGTGGAAACTCTTGGCTTCTCTGGCTGCCTAATTGTTGTGGCTTGTTCCGAAAATTTCCCACTTCAGCAACATTTTTGTACAATTTTCGTTAGCTTCCCTGGCATTTGTGTTGAACTTGTTCTTGGCACTTCTTAAAGTTGCTTCCCTAGTTATTTTCGGTTAACTGATATAGGTCCTCAGTTATGAGAGCCACTCCCGTTTTTGCTCTTTTAAGGTTAAACTTTTGGGGAATTAATATCTCCATTATTGAGTGGGTCAGCTTCAATTAGCCGCTAATTCCTTCGAAAGTTTGATTGATAGCTGTCGCTCATTGATTTGGGTCTCTAAGCGACTGAAGATGAGACTGAAGGGCATTGGGATCGTTCTTCTTCTGACACATATATGCTTATCAGTTGCCCGGGGCACCACTTCCCCTCCCGGAGGCCCTTAAAAGCTTTCTATGTCGCTACATCTTCATTTTGTTTTTTCTTTCATATTTTCCACTTCTCTTTGATGGAACGATTTGATTCCTACGCTTTTCCCACGTAATTTGAGGCCACTTTTTGCAAAAAGTGTATTTTGCACAGGAAGAAAAAGGAATTATTGATCAATCATTTATAATGTGTAAATTTCTATTTAAAAAAATCACTACTATGTATTCCATAGAAATTCTTGCTTTATCAGGGTACATTTTTTATGCATTGTACGCTCTCAATTGGTCATTCTCTCCCATATTTTTCCCGAGAGGAAATTCACCAATTATTTGTATTCGCCGGGCTTTGCATTGTGTTCTTGGGTATTTACTGATTGATTTCACGCTGGTTTTATCGACACTGAAGCCGCTGGCTGACTCAGTGTACAAATGTGGGTTTTTCGTGGGTGGAAAGTGTCAACAGGGCGAGTGTCAACGCTTTTCCCGGCGCCTCGCTCAAATATTTGCCGAGTTGAGGCGCCTCGAAAGTCTGCGCCCGAACATGAGCGCATTTTGTAATTAAGCATTCACAGAACGCTTTAACTCAACGGGTGCAAACGGTACAGTTGTGGGTGATGGGTGGGTGGTAAGGTCGCCCCGGGATCACCCACAAACATGTCAACGGCTGTCCGTCACTTGGCAATCAGGCAGCCGCAGCGGAAAACAGAGGACCCTGCTGCATATTTTAGGGCCAAGTCCCAAAAATCCCTCCTGTGTCAGCAGTCACATGTAGTGATGACACATAAAACCACTTTTTTATTATCTGCACTAATAAAAGTTTTTGTTTAAATTAGGATACCCAGCTTCTACTTTACATAATGTTTCAGTGCTCAATTATAAATAAGTTATTAATGGCAAAGCAAGTTTAATATTTTATTAGCTATTTCCAACAGCAAAATAAATCTGAATGGTATCTCACTGACAGCCTTTTGCTTAGGTCAAGGTAATCGTCGGCCTGTTTGGGCCACAACTTGAGTTCTCAGCCAACTTTCCCGGCCAGAACAATGGCCGTGTTGTTTTGCACTGATTAGTTTCTTGTGCAGTTTTCTACGCCCACCTCTTTATTTTAGGTTAATTAAAAGTGTTGACAATGGCAGCCACATCTCATAATTGCCATTGGCCGGGCCTCAATTATTTATTTTAGTTGGGGAAGCGACTTTTATAATGGAAAGTGGGATACCCTTAATATAAATGGGGCATTAAATTATTACGGCCTATTTGGGGGGTCGTAAATTCTATTTATCGCCGGGAAATGCCTAATAAAACGTAAATTGAATTGGAGTATTCGATTGATAAACTATTGATGTGCACTTAAAACGGCACCACTGAATTAATATTTCAATCTGCGTTAATTGAAACTGCAGTGGTTATGAATATGTACGCCAGTATGGGCCAAGTGTCACGCCATTTACTCCGATTATATCACCATTATCCCGCCTCCCGATCGGAGGCATATGGCATAATGCCGGCTCAGCAATTCATTTCAATTTAGCAGCCCTCGTGTGTGCGAGCTGGCACTTTTCCATTTTAATTTGTTTGCCCATGGCCCACGGAATATGATATTAATCTGCCGGCTTATCGGACTTGTTTATTGTTGTAGTCCGGTCCGTCGGAGGTTTACTGCTTATCGACATGTTTATTACAGTGAAATTCTACCTGCCATCGCCAATCGTCACTTGATTAGCAGCATAAGCCCTGGCTCTCCAGCGATTATTCTCTTTGTCTGCGCTCTATAAAATATCAATAAATTACGATACTTATATGGGGCACACGAGAGAGAGGACGGTGCTAAATAGATTTTTTCACACCTCGCTATTCTGAATGAACTGCTGACAATGGCTTTATTTCTAGAAAATATTTGGTCAGCAGATGTGGAATTTTTGTTGATTGAGAGCACTTGGCAAATATGAACAAAGCTTTCAGCAGAATCAACTAAGTCCGCATGAATTGTGTCAGTAATTAAATTGGCTTATAAATAGAATGACATTAAACAATTTTAATTAGCTTAGCATTAGTCCAATGTTAAATTTTATTGCCCTCTTTTCACAAAATATTCAATCAAAGCAACCATCTCGATTGGCACCAGCATAATTTAATGCATAAACAGACAAAAACAATTTGATTAGGCTTATTCGCATAATTCGCAGAGTGACTGAAATGTGTACAAAAAGTTTCACCCATCCTCGCCATAAAACTTTAAACACGTTTTATTATCCCAATGTTACTGCGGATTATCCATAAAAGCTAAAACTAATTTGCAGTTTATTGGCTATTAATTGTTACACTTCATTTGCGGTCATAAAAAGTATGCTGCTAACACAATGGCAAATAAGGGACTTGCAGTAAAAAGTTAATTTCATTTTTGAAAAGCAATCAACTTCCGCAGCAGCTGCTTTGTCTATAAATTGAAGACAATTCCATGTCGGCTAAGAATTTATAGCTCTTCGGGAGGGGATAGTAGCCCTAGTCCTCAGCGTTTTCCCAGCTTATCGACAGCGGAAACTCTTCTGCTCGGTTCATATTTTCCGCTCCCCAATGCTCGCTGTCAAGCAAGGAAAATAATATCCGCTGCTGCCATATAAAGCTAACAAGCAAACCAAATTTTGGCCAAAAAAGAAAAAGAAAGGGGGAAATTCGAGTGCAAGGATACGCTTTGAAACCTATTTTTCAAACAACCCCTCCTGTTGCATGTTCAAT